TACAAGAAGAGATCCAGCGACAGGTAACTTCTAAACCTACTGAGAATTTCTCGATTGCATCAGCAGTGCAGAAGAAAACAACATATTCAAAATTCGCCAAGGACAAATCATGTGAACACTGCAATAAAAGTGGTCATACAATCAATGAGTGTCGAATTCTTAAGTTTCATTGTAAGTTTTGTGATAGAAGGGGACATACAGAAGATCGGTGTCGACAGAAAAATAATTCTACAAGGACAAGACAAGTCAATCGACACAATCATCGTGGATACCGATCATCTGCAAATATGGCCGATGTTTCACAGTTGAATACAGAAGAACAGTCACCTAATTCCATTCCAAATTTTTCTTCTGAGCAATTACGACAGATAGCACAAGCCTTATCTGCAATCAATCAAAACCCTTCTGGTAATTCTGACAATCACATCAATGTTGTAGGTTTGTTTCCCATATCTACATTATCTGTTAACTCTGCGAGTTCTAATTCATGGATTCTCGATAGTGGAGCTACGGATCATATAGTATCAAAATCTTCTGTTATGACTGATCTAAAGGCTGCCATCATGTCTACAATAAATTTGCCTAATGGAGAGACAGCACGTGTGTCACATACTGGCAATATTTTCCTTAGCCCTAGCCTTAAGTTAAACAACGTTTTATGTGTGCCTTCATTCAATTTAAACCTAATGTCGATCAGCAAACTTACCAATAACTTGCAATGTTATGTCACCTTCTATCCTGATTCTTGTGTTATGCAGGACTTGGCTACGAGGAAGATAATTGGCTCGGGTAAACAATTTGGAGGTCTCTATCATATTTCTTCATCTCCAATCAAATCTTCAGCTCATCAAGTATCTCAGTCATCTGATTTGTGGCATTTACGTCTAGGTCATCCTTCTTTTTCTCGTTTTAAATTTCTAGCTGATCAATTGCATCTTAATAATGCGAGTTATTCTCATAATTGTAGTATCTGTCCGTTAGCAAAACAAACTAGGTTGTCTTTCCCAAGAAGTTCAATAACAACCCATTCTGCCTTTGATCTGATACATTGTGATGTTTGGGGACCACATAAAATTCCTACCCATTCTGGTTTGCGTTTTTTTCTCACTATTGTTGATGATTTTACTCGATGTACTTGGGTTTTTCTAATGCAACATAAGTCAGAAGTACATCATTTGTTAATGAACTTTGTTAAATTTGTTCAAACTCAATTTCATACTACTATCAAGATAGTTCGATCAGACAATGGGACTGAGTTTCTATCTTTGCAACCATTCTTTACTTCTTGTGGTATTGAATTTCAGCGCACTTGTGTCTATACTCCACAACAAAATGGAGTCGTAGAACGTAAGCATCGCCATATCCTAAATGTAGCTAGGTCTCTTCTTTTTCAATCACAGGTTCCACTTAATTTTTGGGGAGAGTGCGTTTTAACGGCTGTTTATCTTATAAATAGAACGCCATCACCAGTGTTATCTAACAAGACACCCTTTGAAGCACTCTACAAACGATCACCTACATTTCATCATCTTAAAGTTTTTGGTTGTAAATGTTATGCAACTATAGTACATCCTAAGCAAAAATTTGAACCTCGGGCAATTCCTTGTGTTTTCGTAGGATATCCTTGTGGTCATAAAGGTTACAAATTGTATGACATGCAATCTCACAAATTCTTTATCAGCCGTGATGTTAAATTTTGTGAAGATGATTTTTCTTTTTCATCAGCTTCACAAACTTCGACATTAGCTCCTTTGACTCCTGTTGTTCCACTTCATGATCCATCCTACTTAAGCATCCATCCTCCACCTTCCATTCCTCCTTCACCTCCTATCCCTTCACCTACTACTTCGTCGTCTCCTCCACCTTCTCCAGATTTGCCCACTGATTCCAATCCTATCCCGCCTGATACATCAGCTCCACTCCGACGTTCTACTCGCACTAAACAGCCTCCAGCTTGGCATAAGGATTATGAGTTGTCTTCTGGAGCCAATCATTTAACCTCTAGCTCAAGTCTCGGCACTGGCACCAGGTATCTCCTTCATCATTACCTTTCATTCTCTCGTTTTTCTCCTACTCAACGTGCTTTTCTAGCTCTTATTACATCCCAGACAGAACCTAAAACCTATGACGAGGCAGTTGGCGACCCTTTATGGCAGCAGGCTATGAATGATGAAATTGCAGCTTTGGAACGTAATCATACATGGTCTCTCGTTCCTCTACCACCTGGTCATAAAGCTATTGGTTGTCGCTGGGTGTACAAAATTAAATACAACTCTGATGGTTCTGTTGAACGTTATAAAGCTCGACTTGTAGCAAAGGGATACACTCAGGTTGAAGGTATTGATTACACAGAAACATTTTCCCCTACAGCAAAACTTACTACACTTCGTTTCTTACTCACTGTTGCTGCTACTCGAGAATGGTTCACCCATCAGTTGGATGTTCAAAATGCCTTTCTCCATGGTAATCTAGACGAGGAAGTTTATATGTCTTTACCACCAGGTCTTCGCCGACAGGGGAAGAATACAGTATGTCGGCTCCATAAATCTCTTTATGGATTAAAACAGGCTTCTCGCAATTGGTTCTCCATATTTTCTACAACTATACAAAATGCAGGCTACACTCAGTCCAAAGCAGACTACTCTTTGTTTACCAAGAGTAAAGATACTTCTTTCACTGCAGTTCTAATCTATGTTGATGATATTCTGTTGACAGGAAATGATCTCAAAGAAATGCAATATCTCAAGACTAGTTTACTCCAAAAATTTCTTATCAAAGATTTAGGAAATTTGAAATATTTTCTAGGCATTGAATTTTCTCGGTCTAGAAAAGGAATTTTTATGTCTCAAAGGAAGTATGCTCTAGACATCCTTCAAGACACAGGCCTTACACGAGCACGTCCAGACAAATTTCCTATGGAGCAAAATCTGAAACTTTCTTTAACTGAAGGAAAGAAATTGAACGATCCAAGTAAATATAGACGGTTGATTGGCAGATTAATATATTCGACTGTCACTAGGCCTGACATAGCTTATTCAGTTCGTATGCTTAGCCAATTTATGCATGAACCAAGAAAACCACATTGGGAGGCAGCTCTTCGAGTTTTGAGGTACATCAAAGGCACTCCTAGTCAAGGACTCCTACTGCCATCTGAAAACAATTTAAGATTACAAGCATATTGCAATTCTGACTGGGGTGGTTGTCGAACTTCCAGACGGTCTATTTCTGGGTTCTGCATTTTCCTTGGAAATTCAATTATTTCTTGGAAGTCTAAAAAGTAGACTAATGTGTCCAGATGATCAGCAGAAGCCGAGTATCGAGCTATGACAAATACTTGTTTAGAGTTAACTTGGTTAAGATACATTCTTCAAGACTTGAATGTTCCACTGTCCGAACAAGCATTATTATATTGTGATAATCAAGCAGCATTACATATAGCAGCCAATCCAGTTTTTCACGAACGTACGAAACACATTGAAATAGATTGTCATATAGTTCGAGAAAACTTACAAGCTGGAATCATCAAACCGTGTTATATTTTGACCAAAATGCAATTGGCAGATGTTTTTACTAAAGCTCTGGGAAGACAGCAATTTGACCTTTTGAAGGACAAGTTGGGTGTGATCGACATACACTCTCCAACTTGAGGGGGAGTATTAAGAGGATATTTTGGAGATATATTAGTTAGAATATATCTGAGATATTTAGGGAGTTCGTATAAATTTGATTAATCGTATATTTTATTTATTTACAAGATTTAGTTAGATATATTATTTTTTTCTATTTTTAGGTATTAGTTAATAGTTTGTATCTATTTAAACGTGGCAAACCTGAATGAAGATCATACACTTTTCCAATTCTATTTTCTATTTCTATTTCTTAACACTTTCGCATTGGATCATCCTAATTCCATTTGGAATTACCCTATTTTCTTATTAAAAACAAGGTCCCCAATGCATGCATGACATGACTGTTACGTGCAGAAACATTCTTTTAAAATATTTCATAAACAATGTCATGGAATTAAACGTTCATGGTACAATCTTTAAAACAACATAGCAGAAAATCAATAACGTGAAGTTTAAATAAAATAACGTCGTAATCTAACTTAAGGGCTATAAATAACATAAATGCATCTACCCTAACTTAAACTCCATTGTCATCACAACGACATCGTCATCCGTGCATATGTGTCTTACTTTTACTTGAAAATAAGAAATACTCAATAAATAACCTTACTACTGGATCATAACATGCAATTATGCTTGGAGCTTATCATTTCATAAAAAACATTTCAAGTCTGACGGCAAGTTTGGGCTAAATCTAGATGTATAATACTTCTCTACACATTACCCACGTACATGCACATGGACCCACCAGACGGGTGTATGTGTTCCCCTTGGGTCTGTCCTTCAACTAGCACACACTCATGCTACTGGAGCTACGGAGGGAAAAAAGTCTGAATAATATCATGATACACATAGATATTGTAATGTACGTGTCCGTGCTCATCATAACGGGAAATTATCTTGATGCACGTGACATACAAAAATGCATAAGGTCTCTCAAACTTAAAATCATGGCGTAAGTTTATGACGTAAGTCAAACCTCCATTCATTAATAATATAACGGCTTGGGAATCATGGATACATAATTTCTAACAAATCTTCCATACTTATCATAGCTTACATGGTATGGCATGGTGCATAGAGGTTAGGTTATCATTATCATAAAATGGCTCCACAATATAGCACAATCACATTATAGCATAACTTATAAATTTGGCATAGTATAACATAACAATCATAATTATGACATGTAAAGGGGTACGGGAAACGTGTCATCATACATCATATAATTTGTGCAACTAAACCAATAGTAGAGTCAATTACTTGAATATCACACACATGGAAGTTTATTTGTTAACTTTATTTATTTATTTATTTATTTATTATTATTATTTTGTCCGTATGTGGTTTTTGTCTCCACTTATTAATAACATTTATTATAAATGTGACGATATTTGATTAATTCTTTTTAGAACTCCTCTTTGTAGGGCCCATCGACATAGCCATTTCCCTAAGTAAATACTTTTGGATCTTGCCGGTCGACGTTTTCGGCAGCTCCGTCATGAACACCACCGTCTTCGGCGCCATAAACCGCGGCAGCTTCCCTCTGCAATACTCAATAATCTCCTCCTCTGTTCGCTGCTGAGTCAATCCCTCTCTCAAGCTCACAAACGCACACGGCGTCTCCCCCCAGAACTCGTGTGGTCGTGCCACCACCGCCGCCTCATTCACGGATGGATTCGCATACAAAACCGACTCCACCTCAACGCTGCTCAAATTCTCTCCGCCACTTATAATCACATCCTTCGACCGGTCCTTAATCTCCAAATACCCATCAGGATGCATCACTCCAACATCTCCGGTAAGGAACCACCCATCCTCGGTCATCGACTTCGCCGTCGCTTCTAAATCTTTAAAATACCCAAGCATCAGCGACCCAACTCTCAAAACAATCTCTCCCATCGATACTCCATCTCTTGCCACACTCTCCCCAGTCTCTAAATCCACCACATCCACTGCCGGAGTCGCCACCGTCCTCACCCCCTGCCGCGACTTAAGCCGCGCCCTCTCCACCGCCGGTAGTTGGTCCCACTCTGCCTTCCACGAGCAACAAACAACAGTCCCCCCTGTTTCTGTCAGGCCATATCCATGAGTAACATCGAACCCCAATGATTCAATACGGAACAGAATTGTCGCAGGCACCGGCGCTCCGGCAGTGAGAATTTTAACCGGCCAATCAAGTGGTCGGATGTCTGGAGAGTTGGTTTGTTGTGCGCCGAAAGCGGAACAAATGTACTCACAACACTAAATTTACTCACAACACTAAATTTACTCAAGGCATACAATTTGCACAGAAAACTTGATGATTTCAACAGCAGAAAGAATGGCATTATATAGCCTTCTGCTAAACCTAAATATAAACTAACAAGCCTAGAATAGGTCATCTAAATATAAGCTAACAAGCCTAGCAAGACCTTGAGAATAGGTCACTCAAATATAAACTAACAACCCTAAAAATAGAATAGGGCTTATGACAGTGCTTAACAATCTCCACCTTGTCATAAGATTTCCAAGTTGATAACGAATTTGGTTGCTACCACATCAACACACTACTCCTTCCTTCCGACGTTGATGAGATCCAAACAATGGCAGAACTTTTCACGAGCGATCACCTTTGTCAACATATCAGCAGGGTTATCAGCAGTTCCAATTTTTAGTAAACGAATATCCCCTTTGCTAATGATTTCTCGAATAAAGTGAAAACGGACATCAATGTGTTTTGTACGAGCATGATGGACTTGATTTTTTGACAAGCAAATAGCGCTCTGGCTATCACAAAATACATCTATATGTCCCTGCAAAATACCCAAGTCATTGATCAAACCATGCATCCAAATAGCTTCTTTAAAAGCTTCCGTTACCGCCATATACTCTGCTTCAGTGGTAGACAATGCAACAGTAGACTGCAATGTTGAGCGCCAACAAACAGGTCCACCAGCCATAGTAAATAAATAACCCGTGGTGGATCGTCGCTTATCCAAATCACCAGCATAATCAGAATCCACAAAACCAGCTACACGATTGTCAAGATTAAACATTTCTTGTTTTTGAAACTTAATACCAACATCAATAGTGCCAAGAATGTACCTAAGAATCCATTTTACAGCCTGCCAATGCTCTTTACCAGGATTATGCATATAACGACTCACCATGCTTACTGCGTGTGAAAGATCAGGTCGAGTACACACCATAGCATACATCAACGCACCAACAGCATTTGTATAAGGAATGTTCTCCATATATCTTTTGTCATCGTCAGAACTTGGACACATGGAAGCACTAAGCTTGAAATGAGGAGCAAGTGGAGTACTAACAGGTTTGGTTGAATTATTCAAACTAAATCTTGACAATACCTTGCGTAGATATTGAGACTGAGTCAACCAGACTGTACCTTTTTTCCGATCTCGCTCTATCTCCATTCCAAGTATTTTCTTTGCATTGCCTAAGTCTTTCATTTCAAATGTTTTAGAAAGCTCATCTTTGAGTTTATCAATCTCCACCTGTCTCTTTGAAGCAATTAACATATCATCAACATATAAGAGCAAGTAGATAAACGATCCATCATCGAGACATCTATAATACACACAATGGTCAAATTGACTATGAGTATACATATGCTCTACCATGAAATGATCAAACCTTTTATACCATTGGCGAGGGGATTGCTTCAGCCCATACAAAGATTTCTTCAATCTGCATACTAAATGTTGCTGTCCAACTACTCGGAAACCAACTGGTTGCGTCATATATATTTCTTCTTCCAAATCTCCATGCAAAAAAGCAGTTTTTACATCGAGTTGTGCAAGCTCAAGATTAAATTGAGCAACCAAAGCCAACAAAATTCGAATCGAAGAATGTTTTACCACAGGTGAGAAAATTTCATTGTAATCAATACCTTCCTTTTGTGCGTAGCCTTTAGCCACAAGTCGAGCCTTATAACGTATACCAAAAGGGTCTTCCTTTTTTGCAAAAACCCATTTACAACCAATTTCCTTCTTACCTTTTGGAAGTTGTACCAAATCCCAAGTTTGATTTATCTCCAATGATGCTATCTCCTGATTCACAGCCTCTTGCCAGTGTAAGCTATCCGGGCTCTGAATAGCATCTTTGTAACTGTTAGGAACTCCATCAATCAAAGAGAAAGCATATGCTATCGTATCATCAAACCTTGCAGGTTTTCGAATTACCCTTCGTGGTCTATTCTTGGCGATTGACTCAGGTTCCTCCACTCTTTCATTTACAAGGCTTTGCTCCTCAAGACTTTGCTCTTTCTGTTCTAAGACATCAAAGTTATTATTTACCTGGTCAATAGGTTCTTCAGTAGGAGCAACCACATCAGGAGAGAACACCACCTTCTCCACCTGCTTCAATGTCTCGTCATTATTTTCAATTTTCTGCAAAAACATTCCAGACTCATCGAATGTCACATCTCGACTATTAACAATCTTACTTGTTTCTGGACACCATAACCTATAGCCCTTCACACCTTTGCTAAAGCCCATAAACTTGGCTTTTTTGCTCTAGGATCCAGCTTTGAGTCTGTCACATGATAATAAGCAGGACACCCAAACACATGCAATTTATCATAATCACTAACAGGACTACCTGACCATACCTCAAGCGGAGTTCTCCCACCGTTTCCAGAAACAGGTAAACGATTCACCAAGTGAACTGCATAACTGAGAGCCTCAGCCCAAAATGCCTTACTCAATCCTGCTTGAGACAATATGCATCGAACCTTCTCTATTAATGTCTGGTTCATTCTCTCAGCAACTCCATTTTGTTGTGGCTTACCAGGAACAGTGAAGTGTCGAACGATCCCTTCATCTCGGCATACTTTAAGGAATGGATCATAAGTATATTCTCCCCCGTTGTCTGATCTCAGCCTTTTGATTTTCTTGTCCGTCTGATTCTCTACCATTTTCTTCCACTCTAGGAAGATTTGGAGAACCTCGTTTTTGTGCCTCATGGGATACATCCAAACTCTCTTCGAGTAGTCATCAATAAAGGTGACGAACCACCTCTTTCCTCCCAATGAGACATTCTTTGTGGGACCCCATACATCAGTGTGAACATAATCCAAAATGCCCTTTGTTTGGTGTATAGTTGTACCAAACTTCACATTTTTTTGTTTGCCAAATATACAATGTTCACAGAAATCAATTCTTCCAGTTGTGGCACCCTTAAGGACTCCTTGGTTCACCAGTGTCTGAAGCGCCTTCTCACCAGCATGCCCGAGTCGCATGTGCCATAATTTCGATATGTCTTGTTCTTTCGAACTTGCCACAGCAGCATGCCCAATTATTGTGGTTCCGTTGAGGTAGTATATGCTACCTCTTCTAGTTCCTGTAATTGCCACCAAAGCTCCACGAGCTACTTTCAAATTCCCTCCTTCCAAAATGATGCGATAACCACTCGCATCCAAAACGCCAAGTGAAATCAAATTTTTCTTCAAGTCAGGGACATACCTCACATCTTTGAGTTTTCGTATAACCCCATCAAACATCTTGATTTGTACTGAGCCGATTCCCATTATCTTACAAGTACTATCATTTCCCATATAGACAACTCCACCATTGAACTCCTTGAAGTCCAAAAACATCTCTTTGTTGGGACACATATGATAGGAGCACCCAGAATCAAGAATCCATTCACTGGTTTGGCTGACTGATAGGGAGATTGTCAAGGCATCATCTGTATCAGTGTCGTCATCTCTAACCACATTGGACTTCGACCCCTTCTCTTTTAAGATCGGACAATCCTTTTTCCAATGGCCTTTCTGTCGACAATATGCACACTCATTTTTATCAAGTTTTCTCCAATTATCAGATCTACCTCTCGACTTTAATCGAGACTCTCCACATTCGTTCTTTTTCCAATTGGAAGTCCTTCCATGAGCAGTGAGAACATTTGAGCTAGAGCTTTGATACGTCTCCTTTTCTTTCTTTCGCATCTCATTGTTTATTAAGGCATTTGAAACATCTTCAAAATCAATATTAGTGATTCCATGTAGTAGGGTCGTTACTAAAAACTCGTAGGATTCCGGCAAGGAGTTTAATAACAACAACGCCTTGTCCTCGTCATCAATCTTAACATCAAGATTGAGCAAATCAGTGATGATTTTGTTAAAATCATCCAAATGCTCAGCCATTGAGATGCCTTCCTTGTAATCAAAACGGAAGAGTTTCTTCTTCAAATAGAGTTTATTTTCCACACTCTTCTTCATATATTTCGCTTCAAGCTTGTCCCATAATTCTTTCGCCATGGTAACCTTCATAAATGGATATTTCTGATCCTTGCCAAGACAGGATCGAATAATTCCACAGGCTTGCCGATTTAATTTCGTCCATTCTGCTTCTGTCATGTCTTCAGGCATTTCCTCTTGGAGAGAGACATCGAGGTCTTGCATGACCAACAAATCGCTAACTTCGCCTCGCCAAACACCAAAATTATTGGTTCCATCAAATTTCTCTACTTCAAGATTGGAACTCCACACTCTCGATCCACGTCGTGATGGTTCTGCCATTTGCAATAATTAATCTGGATGAAACTCAAAAACACAATTCTTGAAAATTGATTTTCAAGAGAATAACCACGATTGTGAGCACGTCTAATGGTCGATGATGCCCAAGCTTTCACAATACCCCAAAATACCACAACCTAGCTCTGATACCACTTGTTGTGCGCCGAAAGCGGAACAAATGTACTCACAACACTAAATTTACTCACAACACTAAATTTACTCACAACACTAAATTTACTCAAGGCATACAATTTGCACAGAAAACTTGATGATTTCAACAGCAGAAAGAATGGCATTATATAGCCTTCTGCTAAACCTAAATATAAACTAACAAGCCTAGAATAGGTCATCTAAATATAAGCTAACAAGCCTAGCAAGACCTTGAGAATAGGTCACTCAAATATAAACTAACAACCCTAAAAATAGAATAGGGCTTATGACAGTGCTTAACATGGTTAACATATTCAACACCACCGGAGCTCCACATAAGTGTGTCACGTGATGGCGGCGAATTAGGGAATAAACCAATACCGCATCGAATTTTCTAATGCATATATTTGTGCCGCCGACGGCGGCCATTCCCCAACTGAAACTCCACCCATTAGCATGAAACATGGGTAATGTCCATAAATAAACCGATTGCTTTGGAACTCCCCATTCCAGAAGCATATCCAGAGTTACTATAAAACTTCCTCTGTGACAGTGAACCACTCCCTTCGGCGAGGAAGTGGTTCCAGAGGTGTAATTAAGAACGATTGGATCCCATTCACTCGCCGGCCGAATCCACTGGAACTCTGAATCCCCTTTCCGAATCATTCCCTCGTACGAATCCACAAAATTCCCTTCAATCAAAACAGAGGACGATGATTCCTCTGCTGCAGCGTCATCGGCAATGAGGACGAGCATTGGACGGTATATCTCCGGCGGGAACAAGTCCAAGGCATTATGGATTAGATTACAAAAGGCATGATCGACAAATATGAGTTTTGATTCGCCATGGCAGAGGAGGATGGAGATGGTTCGAGCATCCAGACGGGTATTGATAGTGTTGAGAATGGCGCCGGTCATCGGAACGGCGAAGTGGAGTTCGTACATGGGGGGAGTGTTGGGAGAGATGACGGAGACGACGTGGCCTCTCTGGATGCCGATGGATGAAAGGGAAGAGGCGAGTTGAAGGCATCGACGGTGGGTGTCGGACCAGGTGTAGGTGGTGTTGCCGTAGATGATTGACGGAGAGTCGGCGTAGATGGTGGCGGCTCTCTCAAGGAAGCCGATGGGAGTGAGGGGGGAGGAATTAGCAGGTCGTGGCTTCAAATCTTCCATGGAAATGGATATGGTTAAAGCTCTGTAATGGTTGCTCTGTAACTTATAAATTGGAAAGTTACCAATTATAATAAATATAATAATATAATAATATAATAATAGTATTATTATTATTATTATTATTATTATTATTATTAAGAGTAGTAGTTTTTTTAGCTTTGTTACTTTCATTAAAAAAATATCTGTCCCTCTATTCCTTAAAATAACGTATTAATTTTTAAAATTTGTTATAATTTACTTTCTAACAAAGAAAATACACCAATTTAATTGGTTTTTATTTTTTTTTTTAAATCTATTTGGTCTTTAATTACTTGAAAGGGTGTATTTTAGTGTTTAATTCATGGTTTAAATACACATTAATTTTTGAAAACTTAACTCAAATGTAGATCTGAGTATAAGAATAATTTTAATGATATGATTTCACTGCTTCCCATTATTGATTGATATGATCTAACTTCTTTGATTAATTAATTGCTAAGTTGTTATAAGTTAAATTAATATTATACATTATTCGCAATTTACTAAAATAATCAAATAAGAATTAGTGTAACGAGTTCACACTATAAATTAATTAATTTAAGGTAAAGTAGTATTGTCCGTTTGGCCTGTTACGCACCGTCATCAGCTTTGCAATTTCCCTCTCCAACGTTTTTGCTGATATGCCATCCAGTTCTAACCGACACAACATTTTCACTAGCATACCGCCCAGTCTCTACCCCCTTGAGACACATCGTTTTTACTAGCATACCACTCAGTATCTACCGCTCTTTATGGCACAACGTTCTCCTTAGCATACCGCCTAGTATTTGATATTGATAGAGGATGAGAACTATAAATAAAGAGAATTTTGAAAGTTAAAGGGTATTTTTATTTTTATTTTTATTTTTGAAATTTTAAGGATATTTTATAAATAAAATATTAATCATTTAAAATTATATTTTTAGAATTGTTTTAATTTAAAATTATTTTTGACATTTTTTAATTTAAAAATATTATTAAAACTTTAATTACATTTTTAGAAATTTAGGTGGTATAAGGAATATTTTTTTATTAATTTAGGTTGGCAATTTTGTCCACCTAAATTAATATATTTAATTAGACCCGTTCGGTTTAATTGAACCATCTAATTCGATCTAGTTAGATTAGCTTGATTATTAGACTAATTCACTCTCTTATTATTTAAGATAATTGTAATATTATTTAAGTCTGATGTGTATGGGTAATTGAGAGAGGAGAAGTGGTTATGATAGGTTATGTAAGATTACATAACAAGGCTTAAGAGAGGGACTAATATGAGCTCACCAACTACTCCATAGTAGTGAACTTATCTAGATTAGAGCAATGGTCCACATGAGTGTTATAGAGTCGCTCCACTCTTGATTATTATTATTTTACTACAACCTAATTCTAGAATTGAACTATCAAGATTGTTAATGTCGTATATGTACCGATGATGGTAGCTACAAGGTCATGCCCTGAGTGATATGAATTCACATATGATTCTACTTGGATCATGCTCTAAATGATAATATATGCTATGATTCTACTATGCTTGTGCTCGGTTCGTGCTCTACGTGAGACGATAATACATATGGGGTCACTCACTTTATGTACAAGTTTCTACTAGGATTGTGCCTTAATGATATGAACATCTGTGCAAGGTCATTTCTTACCTGTATATAAGATGATCCTGTAGGATTGTACCCTACATGATAGGGTCGCTCCCTACATGTATATGAGATGGTCTACTAGGATCAAACCCAATGCGATAAGAATTTCGAATGACGGGGTTACTCTCCCATGATTAAGATTATATGAATATGATTCAAAGTTAAAAGACATATGTTTAATGGAAGATCATTAAATGTGAATTTATTTATTAGCACGTTTGATTAGTTTAGGCCAAAGATAAACTCACAAGGTTAAATTAGATCAAAAGTATTGTTAGGACCCAATTTTCCGGACTTCAAAAAATCAAACTGCAAAGAAAAGAAAAGAAAAAAAAGTAAAATAAAACAAACCATTAAAAATGCATAAAATACTATAAAATTTGGTACGGTTTAAAATCATACAATACCATGGACAAAACCAAAATTAGAATCGACAAAATACAAAATAGGTATTGTTTTAGTTATTTACAAGCATGAAACGGGTGCGAAAACCAAAAGAAAAGAATACAAATTAACATTGGTACCTTCGGTCAACACTCCCATGTGGCGATTCAGTTCCAAATACCTACTCACTTCGACAAATACTTGAAAAAGAAAAGGGGATGAGTATAAAAAATACTCAATAACTTGCCTAAAGTTCGTGTAATTACTTGTCTAGATAAAGTGTGTCCTCCTTAGCTTCCGTTTCCGCTTGTTAAGCTCCAAATTTCTTAAAAATTGGCGGGTAGGTTTTGATTCAAGATAAATTAGAGTCAATATTAAAACCAAGACGAAAAACAAGCTAATAGAGACCGAAAAAATTGAAAAGCACCTTGCATGTGCTCCCACACGCCTTTCACGATCGAGTTGGACGGTTCCAGGTGCAGGTGACATGCTTGTAGGATGGAGATTTACTATATAGTCTTTATAATGTATACTATTGAATAACTAAGTAAATATTAGACTCCATAACCTAATAAGTTGGAGATTTCTAAATACTCCCTAGGCGTGTACACCCAATCCGATAACCCGAACCAACCCAACCCGAATTATAGGGGTTAGGTTGGGTTGGATTAGTCGGTTGGGTTGGGTTGGGTTGGATTGGATTGTTTTTTCTGAACCCGAAATGACTTGGTTCAATTTCCGATTCATAAGATAAAAACTCGAGTTGACCCAAAATCGAATAAACCTTATAAGTAACATTGAGAACTCTGTTGTATTTTAAGGTCGGTGTGGCAATCTATATTTATTAAAATACTCCATGCTCCCGTTCGACTTAATTTATCTTTTGCTTTCTTTTATGATAGGGTATTTTTATTTTTTTAAAAAAAATTACACCATTATACCATTTTTTTTATATATTTTTTTTCTTATATTTCCTTACTTACCATTACACCATTTTTTTTCCCTTATATTTTCCTTACTTCTTTCCATTTTTATAGGTATTTTTATTATTTTTTTTAAAATTACAATTTTTTTAAAAAAATTACACCATTTTTTCTAATATTTTTGTTAGACTGTGGTTGATAATTTTTTTTTTTAATAATTATAGATTGGTTTGTTTGATGTAAGTAAACTTTTAATATTTTTGATTAAAATTATATAGAATAATTATAAAGCGTAAATAAATAAAAAAAATTAAAAAAACTTAAAAAAAAAATCCAAGAACTGGTTGAATTGTGTTTGTGAAAAGTTTGGATCTGGGTTATCAATTCAACTAATCCAAACTTTTGGAATTGGATAAAAAAAAATCTCTCAACCCAACTCAACTCAAACTAAACATATTACTCGAAGTTAGGTTAATTACGACTAGCTAGGTTTGTTTAAATTAAAAATTTAAAAACAATAAATCAAATAAAATAACCACTAATAACATTGTTTAATAATGTAGGAACAACCTGATCTTTCCGGTCCATGTTTTTGGCAACTCCGCCTCTACCGCCGCCACCGCTGCGGTTCTCACACCTTACCGCGCTTTCAACCGCGCCTGCTCCGTCGCGGGTAGCTGGTTCCATTGTGCCCTTCCATGAGCAGAAAACAACCGCCCCACCTGTCTCTGCCAATCCATATCCAACGATTCTAATTTAATCTTCTTCATTAAGATTCTCTATCTTCAATATAATAATAATAATATTTTTATTTTTATTATTATTCATAGTTATTTTCTTTCTTTTTTTAGTTTTTTTTTTTTTTTTTAACGAAGGTAAGTTAAATGTAGACCTAATTTAATTATATGATTTAACTAATTCAATTAGTGATATGATCTGACTCCTTGATTAATTGCAATTTGATAGAAATTAATTAATATTTATATCAAATATAATTAATAGAGAAACTAATTACATTTAATAGGGTTGAATTAAAAAATAAGTTAATTGAATGAGTGTAATCACTTCTCAATATAAATTAATTAATTTAGGATTAAGTATACTTTAAAACTTAATTTCTATTTAATTGAAACTTTATGCTGCTGCATGCAAGGTGACCATAGCAGAAGTTTTCAACTGATGTGGGCAGGTTGGCATCAACAAAATCGAAAAATTTGAACCTTTGAGAACTTTGAAGATCAATCATCCGAGGAAGTCCGCTTGGAATAGTCGCGGGAAGGAGAGAGAAACATAATCGAAAAATTGCGTAGGAAACCGAGCGAAGAAGAAAGGATCCATCAGATTCGGATCGGACCTGAATCGGATACCCGCAGCCCAACCAGCATCCTAAGCCATCCCATCCTGCAACCGCCCAAGACCCACAGCCCATAATCGCTTGTTAGGATATGGAGCCTGATGCTTAGATCTGGTAGATATATATTTGAGAGATATTTCGTAAAGATCGGATAGACATATATAGGTTAGATATTTAGTAAAAATTTGATAGAGATATATTTGTTACATTATAACTCGTAGGTTTAGATCTTTGAAAGTTATATTAGGAAACTAAAACCATATATATACCCTATTAGCCCGTGCTCTCAAAGCCCATTTTTTTCCATTCTCTGTATTTTATCTATCTTGTTGTACATGCTTGAAGTGTCATCATTAATAAAACTCTTTAGCCAATATTCCTCCTTGAATTTTCTCCCTTTTGTTCTTTGTGTTCATTTTGATCGAGTGTGTGCGTTGTTGAACGATCCTAACAATTGGTATCAGAGCTAACAACTGGTATCGATCCTAACAATTGGTATCAGAGCGAGGCGAAATTCACGACGATTTGAGAAGATGGAAATTTCAAAGATTGAAATTGAAAAGTTTGATGGATTCGATTTCGGTTTCTGGAAAATGCAGATTGAAGATTATCTGTACTAGAAAGATCTTCACGAACCCCTATTGAGGGTGAAGCCGAATACTATGACCACGGAGCAGTGGAAGCTCAAGGATCG